TCACTCTCGCCCTCACCCACACTCACACGCTCACCATCACCCTCACCTACACTCACACGCTTACCCTCACTCACACCCACATACACACACACCCTCAAGATCGTAATCGCTGTATTTTATGCCCTCGAAGATGTACATATACATCACGGCCTCGATTCATATTCAGAATTAGAGAGAACGTCCGAATGAAAGAAAAATTATTATCGAGATACATAAGGATGAGTATAAAGTATTCGAAAGGAAAGAATGAAGCATGAAAGTGACTCATATTAAACAGCGAGCATTATGTATGCGAGGGGTTGTCCGGCGAGCAACTGTCCTTTGCGAGCAAGTGTCCTATGCGAGCAAACGTCCATGACGAGCTAATGCTTGGCGAGCAAATGTCCAACAAGCAAGTTTCCGGCGAGCAACCCGCCGTAAACCCGAGAAAAATGTCGCCATTATCAAAAGGTCTCCAGACAAGCCGACGTTTTGAGAAACACAGGAAAAAATTGTGCGAAACCAATAAATTTTCGACCCTTACATTGGTTGAAAGAACCTTCTCCTTCAAAACCTTGCTATAAGTTTAGGTCACTAGGAAAAGGTTTCTCTTTAAGGGTGTGGGTGTGGATGTGTTGAGTGAGGATGAGAATAAGTAATAATTGATTTAAGAACATAGAGATACTAAAGGAGCTAAATGAAGTGAGACCTTATAAAGAAAAGTAAAACAAGACAAATTTTATTTTTTATGAACTTCTCTTTGTACCATTGGAGCTAGAAAATAAAAATAAAAGTTTAAAAAAACGCAAAACCCTTAGTGATAGCCTAATAGTAGAACTATACTTTGAAAATGCGGTGTCTTTGACGATATTTCAGAACTTTTAGACGAAACGGAGCGAGGCGACAGCGAATGAGATAAATAAACGACAATAAAAATCCTCATAATGAAAAGATAAATTAACTTACGGCTGTACTGTTGTATAAGATTTAAATAAATTATATATTTGCTTTCCTTGGATTCAACGCGTTCAACAGTAAAACAAACGCCTGGAGAAAGTAGTTCTTCTTCTTCATCTGGATATTGTGAAAATGGTGTAATATCTACGGTAAAAGCATATTTAACTGTCATAATAAACAAAACATTGCCATATAGTTCAGCTATCTGTCGATTTCGACTACAGGATGTGAACGCTGGAAAAGAACGTTTTGTTTTGTCTTCTTTTTGTAAGCAATCTTTCTTGAAAACTGAAATCGATTGATCGGACAGATTTGCTCCACGATAAAACATTGTTCCTGGCTCGGTTGATTTGTTATCAAACGGATAGTCCCATAGGAGTAAACAGAATGGTCCCAATGTATGAATATTACTGCGCCATTCTTGCTCATGCTGCTGGGTGCCAATTAATCGCATGGTTTCATTTAATTTTCTATATAAGAAACTCTCCATTGAGTACAGTCGCGCACAACATTTCCACACTTCTTTCATGCCTAAAATTTTCGTCGTTGTTAACATCTCCGCCATCTTTTCGGCTTCACGTTGTTTGCCAATTTTTTTTCCTTCCTCAATAATTCCGGTAGCTGCTCTCTCCACAATTATAGGAACAAATTTTTCATCTTTAGAAGGTAATTGGTCTTTGGTAATGTTTAGTTCTTTGGCTGCTCCTCGTATGAAAGGTGAAATCCAACCATATAAACCAGCAAATGGTCGCTCGGGATCGATTGGAGTAAATGTGAACCGTTCTTTACGCGGAGGCTGATCAGCTTTGTTGATAATCTCACGTTTAATAGGACGCTGTTTCTTACCATCGTAATTGAGGATTTGAATTCCACGCTTAAAGTTAATGCTATAGGTATCAAGTACAGCATGACTTTGACCAGCTTGGAATGCGTCTTCAATGATTCTATTTTCAACATCAGAGTAAAGTTCCCATCTGGCTGGTTCAGAATCGGAGAATGGATCGCTATTTGCTTTCCACATCCATCGAACACATGTATTTGGAACTGCAGAAGCCATTTTGATTTCAATGGAATTAGTTAGTTTCAAATACTAAAAACTATTTTGATATTCCTCTGAAAAAACGGATGTTATTAAAAAAATGCAATTATCCACCTATATATAAAGAAGAAAGTTTGTCTGTTCGTTATACATTCAGTCCCCGTAATAGCTACGGTCACTACACTTTCCATGGTAGCTCCCTAAACCAAGGGGAAGGTCGACCTGAAATCGATGTCTCAGATGGAGGTTGGGAAAGAGGGGTGTGGGTGTGAGAGACAATTAAAATGTCTACAACGATACCAACCCACACTACTTCACTTCTTTCATAACTATTTGTTGTTTTATTATACTTACTCAGCGAATATATTTATGTCGGCAACACCTCAATTAGAAAAGTTCTTTCTTTGTTCGCTCAAATTCGATTATATTAACAAGTACAATAACCGTAAATACATAAATCGTCCATTGTTATGTTTCCTGTGTCAAACCACTGCTATTGATGTAATCAATTTATTCGACATCGTCTAGGAACAATAGATTCAGTGAAACTATTCCCACTATTTAGTTCCCTTATCTGTTTGTCCAATACTATGGTTCTATGAAATGTTTGGTATCTACGCTTCTACCTCAGAAGGGGGGTAGGTATATAGAGCTGCGTATGAGTCTATGAGTGTTAAAAAATCTTCTCTCATTTCAGAACTGCTGACACTCATACCCTTGCACAATACAGATAAGCGATGGATTGCAAATCGTCACGAGGCAAAATAAAACCTTTTTTCGTTAGACAAAGATGAAGAAGATAAGTGAAGGATGGATGATGTGAGTGTGACTGTGGATGTCAGTGAACACAAGATATCCACATTCACGCACATACCCTCAAGGTGGCATTATTAATTTCATCAATCATTACCATCGAAAATGTCCGAATGCGCGCGCTTATATACCTTTTTATCTTTTCTATTGTTGTTATCTGTGGTGAATTTCTCATCGTGTATATTCCATGAGCAAAAAAGAATCGAATGAATATAAATGAAAAAAAACAACAAGCAGACGAACGTATATAAATGCAAAAACAGAAAGGAGTGAAGCATACCATAAGCACATATCATCATGCGTTAGTTATATCATAAAAGATGAAACGAAGAAAGAATGTGTATATGATATAGAACGAAGAAGAGCACGAGATGAAATGTATAAAATATCCAAAATATATGAAAGATAGAGTGGGATGTATATGTGTGAGAAAGAGGGAAAAGTGAGAGGAGTATGAATGCAAGCAGATGCGTGAAAGAGGAAAAAGAGTATATCATGTTCGGTGGACATAACATTATCATACATAAGGCAAGATTTCAAATAAAAGAATCACAATGCATAAATGAAATCTCTTTTTTTCTTATCTATATTACTGTCTACAGAAAGGGCGTGAGTGTAGATATTCTTTTTATTGTTGTCAAAGAAAAAAATATTTTTAAACTTGAGGGTAGGTAGTTGTGAGTGGGTGTGGGTGAGGATAGGTGTGAGAGATAATTATAATATGTACAATGATATCAATCCACACCTACACCCTCAAGATTCATTTTAAATACATTGAACAAAAAAACCATATTTTTTTAAATATATAAAACCATTAGAAAAACGAAGGCTTTTATCATAGATATTTTTTGAGTACGAAAACAATAGTTTTCAATAGAATAAACGACTTACATAAGCAGTCTTTTAAATAATAAAAATCTTCTACAATATAATCTGTGTAAACCATTAAATTATTCTTGATTAAGCGTTTCATACATTAACTCATCTATTGATTGAAAGTAATATCACAGACAGTGATAAAAGAAGAAAAATATTCAGTTTCGCTTTTCTTTTCAAATTCGTTTATTTACACACACATACACTCTCTCTCCATTCTGATAAGTGATTAGACATGCAATGACGAAACTAAGATGGCAAGAATAATAAAACTGCATTAACGTTTGTTTGTTTCGTTTTCAATGTACGTTCTTTATTCATCTCTCTAGCTCTTTACATTTATATTTTTATACGAAGCCAGAAAAATATAAAATTACTCGTTGCAGAATAAGTAACTGTCAGTCATCAACAAATCTTTTTTTCGCGGAGCGGTTTCAGATCAAAAGAAACCACATGACTATACTTAATAATGGATTTTACTTTTAGATTCAAACGAAATGAAATCACATGTCTCTTAAAGAATACTTGTATACTATACACTACTCTCTCAAAATACTATTGACAACATTTTTCTTGATAGGTTTTCATACAATATGATTTATAATGAACATAAGTTTAGTTGCACATGCATATATTATTGCATAATGTTTACGATATCTATTTAACTTCTTCTATTTTATCGACTAAAATCAGTATTCGTCAAATAAAAATCGATGATACAAATTTTTTGCATCGATTCTGTTTTTTTGAATATAGTTTTTCTGGAAATAGTATTTGACATTCATAATAGTTCTTGAATTTTAGAGGAGTTTAGCATAACTCTCTTATGGATATTATTTTCAGTCACTTTTGATGGTCTCTCTTACCACATATATACACACTGTTTATCACAGTAATAGCATTCATATTATGTTGAAATAATCGTTCTGGCATATAAAAAAATAAACAGCAGATGACTTGATAAAGAAATCACTTCACAAATTCGTTGCTTTAATGCGAGAATAAAATTTTACCTGACTACCTCATAGAGAAGTTTTGTCTTACTTCCAGTAATATATCATTTGATAAAGTATTCATTAAGTCCGTTTTCTCGTGTAAAATATATAGTTTTTGAGAGAGTTTATCCTTGCAAATGCTATCAACAGCTGAAATAGTCATATTTCCACGTTTATGAGTACTAAATAATTTATTTTTTGTTCAACAATTGTATTTCATACTCAATTTATGAAAAAGTTTCTTCGATCTTACTTTCATCAACATTAAGTCTACAGTCTTTTTTTCATTCCTTGACATAATGTTTAAAGCATGCTCTATGTAAATAATTTCACAAAGCATTTTGCATTGTCTTTTCATAATAAATTGCATACATATATATGCATCAAACATTAATATGATGTCCGAGAAAGAGTGTAAAAGAAAAACTAATTCGGTGGACGAATTGTATTTCTCTTTCTACCACTATTGGATTGTTGGCTTCTGTTTTGTTCGTTCTTGCCATAACGTCACTAACAAATGTGTTTGTTTTGTTCTGTCTCTTACTCTGCACAATGTCATATTCAAACGTAACTAGGTAGAGTTTGTCCTTGAGCGACAAAAAAACACGCAAACATTCGAGGTCTCCAAAAAATTGGAAAAAACCAAGTCACTGCCTATATAAAGAAGAACGGTGATCTTTCTTTTCATTCAAACAACACTATCTACTGACAAGTTCATCTTTAACAACAAATTACGACAAGATCAGAATGAGTGGATCAAAATCAACTCAAAATACCGCTGCATCATTCAATAAGATCAGAATGAACGGATCAAAAGCGACTCAAAATACTGCTACATCTTCCAAATCAACAGCATCATTAAATATTCGCCAACCACGACAACATATGGCACAAAGATACCTTCTCGTCTGGGTAGATGCCAGCATCGATCAAGCGGACAAGGATTGCCAATACACACTGACTCAATTGAAGAACGTGGTGAATGACGTCAGCCTATGTACTGAACCTAATCAGTGCCTCGAAATACTCAACCAGGATGGTCATGAAAGAGCCTTTGTCATAACATCAGGCTCATTAAGTCAACATTTGGTTCCTGAAATTCATGGCATACCAAAGCTAGGTGCCATTTACATTATTAGTAATAACAAATCAATACATGAACGATGGACACAAAACTGGACAAAAATCAAAGGTGTCCATATAAACATCCAAGAAATTTGTGAAGCATTGCAGTTGGCTATTAAACAATATCATCAAGACTCAATAGCCATGAGTTTTATTACAGCAAATGAAATGGCTTCAGCTAATAATTTAAATCAGTTGGAGCCAACATTTATGTACACCCAAATATTCAAAGATATTCTTCTTGATATGAAACATGGTAAGCAAGCCATCAAACGCTTTACTGCTTACTGTCGAAACAATAACAGCGTGTCACCAATCAATATTGACCGTTTTGAGAAAGAATACCATGCTCATTCCGCTATTTGGTGGTACACTTTTCCATCGAATATCTTTTCTATGCTCAATTATGGTCTTCGAACATTAGACGCCGACATAATTATTACTATGGGTTTTTTTCTACGTGATGTACATTTGCAAATTAAACAGTTATATGAACAACAGATCAGTGCTTACGGAAAAAAGCCTTTTTTAGTTTATTGAGGACAAGGTTTTATGAAATCAGACTTCGAAAAACTTCAGAAAACAAAAGGTGGACTAATATCATTTAACAATTTCTTGTCTACCAGTAGGGATCAAAATATGCCTCTCGGATTTGCTTATAGTGCGTCGGAAAATGCGGACATGGTCGGCATTCTTTTTAAGATGTCCATTGATCCTTGTGTTAAATCAGCACCATTTGCTTTCGTCAAAGAAGTGAGTTCTATTAAGGGCGAAGATGAAATTCTTTTCTCGATGCATACCGTCTTTCGAGTGAGTGCAATTAAACAAATGGATGATGAGAATCAACTTTATGAAGTTGAATTACAATTAACATCGGATGATGACCAACAATTACGATTGCTTACTAATCGGATACGAAAAGAAGTTGATGGTACTGGATGGCAAAGATTGGGTACCTTATTGCTTAAAATTGGTGAATTTAATAAAGCTGAAGAACTTTATAACGTATTACTCGAACAGACATCTGATGAGAGTAAAAAAGGGTCTTACTATAATCAACTTGGAAGTGTCCATTTGAACAAAGGTGATTATCATAAAGCTATTTGGTATTACAAACAAAATCTAAAAATTCAACAGAAAAAGTTTTCTTCAAATCATCCTGATTTGGCCACTTCCTACAACAACATTGGTAGTGTGTATAGAAACATGGGAGAGTACCCGAAAGCACTTTCATTTTACGAAAAAGCACTTGATATAATCAAAAGAACTCTCCCTTCAAATCATCAACATTTCCCTTCTTTATACAACAACATCGGTAGCGTGTATAACAGCATGGGAGAGTACCCGAAAGCACTTTCATTTTACGAAAAAGCATTTGAAATAATCAAAAGAACTCTTCCTCCAAATCATCCTGATTTAGCTACTTCATACAACAACATCGGTGGTGTGTGTAACAACATGGGAAAGTACTCGAAAGCACTTTCATTTTATGAGAAAGACCTTGAAATTTGTCAAAAAACTCTTCCTTCTAATCATCCTTCATTGGCTACTTCATACAACAACATTGGTAATGTGTATAACCACATGAGAGAGTACTCAAAAGCAATTTCATTTTACGAAAGAGACCTTAAAATTTGTCAAAAAGCTCTTCCTTCAAATCATCCTTCATTGGCTACTTCATACAACAACATCGGTAATGTGTATAACAACATTGGAGAGTACTCGAAAGCACTTTCATTTTATGAAAAAGCACTTAAAATTGATCAAAAAACTCTTCCATGGAATCATCCTAATTTCGCTACTTCGTTCAGCAACATTGCTAAATTGTATTACAGTATGAAAGACTATTCGGAAGCACTGTCATATTTTGAACGTGCTCTGGACATATTTCAACGTGCGTTATCTACAACTCATCCACATATTAGAGATGTGAAAGAGAGTATTGAAATTGTCAAAAAGAAATTATAAAGAATGGTCGATAAATAAATAAAAGAATATTTTGTCACTGATCTCTAAATTAATTCTATTTTGTAGTGACTCGCGCGCGTGTACAGAGAAGGATGTGAGTGGGGATGAGGGTACGGGTACTTTTTCTTCATTTATACTCTAGCTTTGACCCTCAAGAAAGTTGTATGCAATGATAAGATTTTGCAGCATCTTACACTACCATGTATACTGAAAGGTTCAGCGACGGCCAGCTTTTTGTGCAATTTCATCTGATTTGACAAGATTTTGTCTGATTCTTTGACTTGGATACTTTTCATTTTCTGTTTTCATAATCAAATTTCAGAAAAGATTATGCTCTACTGCCGTGATCTTATCAACAATTGTCATTGTTCTATCAGCAGTAGAAACATTCTTCCAAGCAGAATTCTGCCTGCCTTCTGAAATACAAATTTGTTTATCACATTCCATTAGATATTCGTCAAGCAAACCTATTGTACATGGGTATAATTATCATAGAAATAGATTAATGCTTTAAAGTCTTCTTCATCAACTATATGTACAAAACTATTGTCATCTAAATTCATAGATTTAGTTATTTTATGATTAAATTTCATTCGTTTTATATCATTAAATTTATCTAAATTATCTATAATTACTTCAGTTAAACAACGTTTAGCATACATCAGTGTATTTACTAATAATCCTTTATTATATACCACCTCTCAATTCGATGATGAAAGTTATTCATCATAACTTATAGATAATAAATGATCATTGACTAACTTTTTCTATTGCATTCTTATTAATTGTAATATAATTAATGATGGATCAATACCAAAAATACCTCACAACTTGTATTAAATATAGCAATGAGATTTTTTGTTGGATTATGTGATATAATAAGTGAGATGGAGGAATTGATTCTAATATTTCATCATGATTTAAATAATTATGTATATCACGTAAAGTTGTTTACCAATAATTTCATCATGTATATGAAAGAATTATATTTAGCTCATAATAAGGATTCTAAACGATTAAAATAATATGAACCACGTGCATAAATATCTTT